TTTATATTTTTTTGGGGGGGGGGGGGGGGGGGGGGGGGGCGATCACTTCGTACCCTCCCCCCCCAAAAAAGTCCTCCCAAATATGAAAATGAGTACCTGGGTGTGCGCCAAATTTGTTGTATCTTACGCGCTTGTGCACCACCCTAAACAAACGGCACGTGACATGGTTCCTTTTCTCTTGCCTCAATATATTTATTGCAGGGCCATACACAATACCGCAACGAATGGGAGAAACACTACATGTACGGAAGTGTTATGGTATTTGGAGGTAGAAAGGTGATAGTGGTTGATCATGGTTATTTGGCGCCGTCGGATGCTAAGACGTGACGTCATGCTAGATCAGGGCTTTATGCCGAGACATGTGCCCTTCTGTTCAGTGTGTGCGTACAGGCGATCTATGATCGTGTGTGCGTGTGATATTGTGAGTTGGCTTGGAAAGCGTTAATCAAGAGAAAGAGAACAACGGAAAGCAACAACAACCTGCTACTGTGGTCGGACAAGAGAGTTCCACACAGCTCAAAGGTGATTGATTCTGAAGGAAGGGGTCAAATACCATTACACTGGCGTCGTCGGTCAAATCGGAACTGATCTCTACTCGTACGCGGCGCAGAACCGCGGCTGCTGCGGGTCAGCCTCAACCCGATGTAAACTACGGTTTCGGTCCTGATTTGTCGATGCCCCCACACGTTCCGCGTGCAGGCGCTTCTCGTCGTCAAACACGAGTGACACCAGCTGCCACCACGCCTGAGCCTGCTGTCGAACCTGTCCCAACGGTGCCCATAGCGCCGCCGGAGACGGTTACCGACGCCCCTACGGGTCCTCTGTTGGGTTTGTCACAACCGGCTGCTGCAGCTGGTAACGCAACGCCCGCAGTGGATTCCATGGTCCTCAATCCTGCAGAGTTAGAATTCCGTGAGTCCGTCGAACGCTACACGCGTGCCGATTGGGCGCGGGAACAGCAGAAAGAGCCGGTGTGTGAAGCCACCATCCGCCTCATTCTCCTCAAACGCCCTCAGAGTCTACCTGTCGATTTCTTTGCCAGAGTGTCATATCACTCCAGGCATAGACCATCGTTGGAGGATATTCAAGAGCTTGCAGATAAAGGACGCCTCGTCACTGACGATGGCCTTTGCCTCGTGGTACGAAAGAATACCAAGCCCCCGGTCTCTTCTGACCGCCCCGGAGGACGAGCTGCACGCCTGTTGAATGACGAACCCACTCGTATTTACGTGCCCATGTTAATGCGACCTTGGGTCATGCAAGCTTGTCATGCCAACGCCCTCTGCCACCTTGGTACCGCTCGCACGCTCAGCTTGCTTGAGAGGTTTTACTGGTGGATTGGGATGAGTATCAGTACTCGTTGGTGGATTCGGCGATGTTTGAAATGTCAGGCCCGCAACACTGCGCGCCAGACTATTCGCTGGCCGATTCTCACGAGCCCTCTGCCTTCGGCACCAGGGGTCGCGATTAGCGTCGACTATTTTGGTCCGCTTCCCACAACTCCGCGAGCTTTCTCGTATATTTTGCTATTCACTGACCGTTTCAGTCGGAGAGCCAATATGTACGCAGTGACTGACGCCGAGTTCACAGCTGAAGGTACAGCTGACGTCCTTGTCAATAAATACATGCCTGTTTGGGGATGCCCCCTCAGCATTCTTTCTGACAACGGATTGCAGTTTTGCTCCAAACTGTCGGTTGCCATCCTAAAATTGCTACGCGTCCGAAAAATTACGACGAGCGCGTACCACCCTAGCGGCAACGGAGGAGTTGAGCGCGTGAACCACGCCATGGCCCAGATGCTGGCAATGGTTGTGAACGAACGACAAGATGATTGGGACATTCATCTCCCTCATATTGAATTCGCGTACAGCAACTCCGTTAGCGCTGCCACAGGATTGGCGCCCAATGAGGTGCATATGGCGCGCCTTCCCAGGTTTCCACTGACCGTTTTTGACAACATTTACGCCCGTGGTCACCAATCGCTTGCCCGCGATCAGCTCGAGTATTGCAACCTTGCCGCCGATCGGCAACGGCGCTCCTACGAGCTAGTGCGTGAACAACACGCACTCACAGTTTCCCGTATGGAAAGACGGAACTCGAAACTGTCTGATGCCTTACACAAACTACCCGTTTACGCTACCGGTGGTTGGGTGTGGGTCTACAACCATTTGGCTACCATCCGCCAAGGTGCCAAACTCACTTCCAAAGCCCGCGCAGACGCTGACTCCCATGTACTCAAGAAGAAGCTGTCCTTGAATTGGACAGGTCCTTTTAAAATCCTAGCAGTCGGTCCTTGTAACAAGGCTCCCGATGGCAGCCCGGTGGCTGACAAGCTCCTGTTCTTGGATCTTCCCTCCGATATGCCCGGAGTGGATGCCAAGCGCCGAGTTTCTGTCGCTCGTTGCAAACCGTGTGCGAACCCACACGACAGTGACGACATGCCTCGGTTCTTGCCTGCAGGCCTCACGCAGTACGTTCTCAACAACTACGCGACGAAGTCTCCGCCGTACCATGTTACCGCGGACGATGTTTCGGCGCCTGTCCGTAGGCTCGAGGTTGAGAAAATCACGGGACACCAGTCGGTTCGAGGACGTGGCGGCGTTATCGCAGTCATGTACGAGACCCACTGGAAAGGTCTTCTGCGGCCCTCGTGGGAACGAGAAATGGACCTCCAACACTCTCGAAAGCAGGTTCTTCTGTATTGGGCTGGTACACCCGACCAACACCGGCAGACTAACCGTCTGTATCGTCGCATGCGCATTGGCGCAGCGGAACGTGAACTGTCTCGCATCAAAGGCGAGCGGTCCTCGTCGCCTGGGTACGAATATGTTCCCCGCGATGTTTGGGCCCGCCGTTTTCGCAACACCGTGCTGCCTGTTGGCGCACACTTCGGGTACAAGGCTCAAGACGCTCTATGGTGGCTAGGGAAAATCTCCGGACACACTCCAACTACAAACGTCTTCTTCGTTCG